GCCCCACAGGGGCCCTTTGAGGCCCCTAAATGGCCTTTAAGGGGCCCCTGTGGGGCCCCACAGGGGCCCCCGGGGGCCCCACAGGGGCCCCCGGGGGCCCCACAGGGGCCCCTGTGGGGCCCCACAAGGGCAGACGTTCTTTGCTTGATTTTTGTTAATTCCGTGGCTGCTTCCTTTCGAGAGTATGGGCCTGTAGCAGCAGCAGCAGCAGCAGCTGCTGCTGCTGCTGCTGCTGCAGCAGCAGGCAGAGAGTTTAAGGTGGTTGCAGCAGCAGCAGCAGCTGCTGCTGCTGCTGCTACGTCGCTCAGCGAGACAGCAGACTATTTTAGTGAATAAGTCAGCCTGCTGCTGCTGCTGCTGCTGCTGCTGCAGTTCGCTCCTGCTGCTTTCTGACTATTTGTTGCTGCTGTTCTACCTGCTGCTGCTGCTGTGGAATTTGCTTCTTTTGCTGGTGTTGACTGAGCTGCTGTTTGTGTATCGGCGGTGCTGCTGCTGCTGCTGCTGCTGCTGCTGCTGCTGCTGCTGCTGTTCTGCAATGTATCAACAGCTACATCAGCTGCTTCTGATGGGCTTTAATTTCTGCTGCTGCTACACAGCCAATACTGGGGTGCTGCTGCAGCACGTGCTGCTGCAGCACGTGCTGCTGCAGCACGTGCTGCTGCAGCACGTGCTGCTGCAGCAGGTACTGCTGCTGCTGCTGTTCGGAATGGTGCTGCATTTGCTGCTGCTGCAGTTGCTTCTCGTTTGCTGCTAATTTTGCGTAGCGGTTTTGCTATAGTTGCGGAGAAGCAGCAGCTGCAGCAGCTGCTGTGGCAGCTGCTGCGCCTAAGGCTGCAGCAGCTGCCGCAGCCCGGGAAAAACAGCAGCAGCAGCAGCTGCTGCAGGCAGCAGAGGCTGCCTGCAGCAGCAGCTGCTGCTGCTGCTGCTGCAGTCGGTCTCTGTCTCTGTTTCCCTCTGTCTCTCTTTTAAGCACGGGAGAGAGACACTTTGCATTGGGGCAGCTGCAGCACCGCTGCTTGCTGCTGCAGCTGCTGCAGCAGCACGACTTGCTGCTGCAGCTGCTGTCGCTGCTGCTGTTGCCTAGGCCTATAGGAATAGCAGCTGAAGCTATCGAGTAGTGGAAGCAGCTAGAGCAGCAGCAGCAACAGCAGCAACTGCTGCTGCAGCTCACAAAAGGGAAGCGCGCAGCGTTTGCTCTTGCTGCTGCTGCTGCTGCTGCTGCTGCTGTTGCTGCTTTCAGTTCTGCTCTTGCAGTTTCTGTCACTACGTGGTATCCTAAAAGCCACCAGCAGCAGCAGCAGCGGCTGCTGCTGCTGTTGCTGCTGCTGCAGAACAATATGCTTGTCTGTTCATCAAGGGGGCGCAGAAGCAGGAAGATGGCAGATCCCTTGCTGCTGCTGCTGCTGCTGCTGCTGCTGCTGGCAGTTGTATCTCTTTGTGATGCTGTAGAGGTGCATGCGCTGCAGCAGCAGCTGCTGCTGCCAGAAGCGCGCCAGCAGCAGCAGCGGCAGCAGCAGCAGCAGCGCCCAGGCGGAGCCCCCCAGGCGCAGCCTAGTAACAGAAGCAAGCAGCAGCAAAATGAGCAGCAGCAGCAGCAGCAGCAGATAATGAATTATTTAATTAAAAAGACAAATTAAATACTTCAAAGAAATCAGCAGCAGCAGGGAGACACAAGGGGAAAGAAAGGAACTGCCACTAGTGAGCAAACAGCAGCAGCAGCAGCACCAGCAGCAGCAGCACCAGCAGCAGCAGCACCAGCAGCAGCAGCAGCGGGAGACAAAGAACAAGAAACAGCAGCAGCAGCGGGAGACAAAGAAGCAGCAGCAGTAGAGGCAGCAGCAGGATATAAAGGGGCATCAGCAGCGGCAGCAGACAAGCAGCACGAGATAATTATCGAAAGGCAGCAGCAGCAGCAACAACAGCAGCAGCAGCAACAGCAGCAGCAGCAGCAACAACAACAGCAGCAACAGCAACAGCAGCAGCAGCAGCAAGAGGCACCTGTAGACAGCTGCTGCTGTGTCTCTTCCTGTCTCCGTCTGCAGCAGCGGCAGCACCGCCGTGCTGCTGCTTTGCTGCCCCAGGGCCTGCAGCAGCACGTAAACC